GAATTCACAGGAGAAAGCTGAGGGAGGAGTGGTAATCAAAAGCCAGGTTAGGAACGACCTTTTTCTTCCTACCACAGAGATTGATTATTATCCTCCTGGCTACAGGGAAACACTCACTAAATTTAAGCAGCTAAGTGATAAGATCAGATTTATCATTTATCTTCATACTGATGGGTGTGGAATGAATTGAAACTGAGCAAAACTAGAGGTCCTAAGCTGATAAGAAGACTCACAGCAGTCTAGCTGAGAAATGACAGGTGCCTAAGGCCGTGGCCATGGCACTGAGAATGGAGAAGAGGAGACAGATTTAGGAGACATTGTGAAATAATGGAACTTGGAGATTGATTGGATACTGTAGACTTTGAGGGAGATGCGTCTGTAGAGAAAGTCTTTATAGGATGATTCCCAGATTTTGAATTTGGTGATTAGGAAGATATTATTTCATTGTTTCATTGTATCCACTTAAGTGAAGAAATCAAGAGCAAGAATCAGGGAACTGGGTGTTAAGAGTGAATATCAGCTTTGGGTATGTTAACTGTGTGATGACTGCACACAACTAGCCATATAGGTATCCAGGTCAGAGGGAGGCATGGGCTGGTAATATAGTATTTGTAAGCCATCAGGTTAGAGGTGAAAATTGAAGCCACAGGAGGGAATGAAATCAACCCAAGGAGAATATGTAGACAGAGACTAGTGAAACAAGGTGAAGTAAGAACTCTGGTAAGACCTATATTTAGGGGCTGTCCTAAGTAAAGGGAGCTCAAAAGAAACTTCAAGATGGACTTTCGCAAAAGCAGTTTGGGCAAGAAAGTAATAGAGATTTGGTGTTGTGGGCTGTACTATGTTCCCCCCAAATTCATGTGTGTAAGTCCAAAGCCCATGTACCTCAGAATGTGATTGTGTTTGGAGATACAAATACCAGAGAGTTAATTAAATTAAAATGAGGTCATTAAAATGGGCTCTAACCCAGTATGACTGGTGCCTTTATAAAAAGAGGAGGTTAGAACTCAAACAGAGGGAAGAGGCTGGGGAGATACAGGAAACATGGCATCTACAAGCCAAGGAGAGAGGCCTCAGAAGAAACCTGATCTCGGACTTGTAGCCTTTCAAATTGTGAGAAAATAAATTTCTGTTGTTTGGACCATCTAGTCTTGATAATTTGTTATGGCAGCCCTAGTGAACTAATATAGTTAGGGAGTTAATGGGAAATGCAAAAATTGAGACATCAAATGTAGATAAGAAGAGTATGTGGAGATGGGTGTTTCCTTCTTGTGTTTGTGTTTTTTTTTAATGAGAGTCTTGAAGTATTTATTTATATATTAAGGGCAGGGTGGAAGATGAGAGAGAGGAGTTGACAGAAGGCTTAAGAGGATAATTAACAAGGCACTTGACATGGAATCCAACATATGGAAAGACACACTTCCTACTGAGACAGAATAGAAGGATGTTAAGGGTGGACTGAGTGAGAAGTAAGTTTGTACACAAGGACAACCTTGAAGAAAAAACTAGAAAATTCTTTTCTAGGCTTGGGTATTCTCTGTCAAGTTGAAGCTAATGCCATCTACTGAGCTCAAGGTCAGAATGGTCAGATGAGGAGCTTGAGGGGGATGCTGGAAATTTTAAACCACCCCTGTGTGGACTGGGGAGGAGTGCAGCCTGGGGGGAGGGGTGTGGACCAGCTGAGCTGTGTGGAGGCCCCGGGTGAGGCTATAATGCCACCAGTTCTTATATCATTATGAATTTCTCTAAGCAGTACAAGTTTACAAGAGGGGCAGAAAAATAATAGGGTTCATCAAAAGTTGGAGTGTTTCTGGATTATAGAAGGAATAGAAGTCAAGGGCATTGATAATATTATCAAGAGTGGTCAAAATGGATCTGGATTGATTATAGGAAGGAATTGAAAACCAGAGGAGCAAGATGGAATGGGAGGAAAGCCAGTGCCAAAGAACTGGATCTCGATGGGGTCCAAGAGTAGGTTTGTGGTCATAAGTGAGAGTGAGAGCTGAGAGATGGGCCAGTTGCAGTGAGGCAAAGGGTTAAATGTTGGATTCCCCAGTGTTTGGAATCCACATGCAGCACAGTTCTGGTGAATGCAGCTAAGGATGTGGTTCCAAATGTGAGTGGCTCTAGTAGAACAGACACAAGAGGTTAAGAGGCAACAAAAAGTTATTGGCAGTCCACAGGATATAGAAGTCACCCAGGATTTGGGCAGGATTTGGGGAAAGGACAACTAGAATCCAGGTGCACTTTATAATTCTTTGTTGATCTCTTAAATCTTACATATTCATGGTGACCCAGGTTTAAAGAAAATGGTAATGAAAACCTGAAACCTGATTTACCAATTGTTAATTTCCAGAACAAAAGTGGAGAGGACCAAAGAAAAACAAGGGAAAAGGAACTGATTTGTACATGACACCATCCCTGTTTTCTTCCCCATAATTGCAGGCTTCAGTGGTTCAGTATTACTTCTGATTTATTAAATGGCCAGGAGACCTTGACCTATAATGTGAATGCTAATTACACATTGAATCGTAGCAAAGTCTTTTACTAATTATATTCTTTAAAAAAAAAGAATGATAGCAAATATTTATTGAGTGTTTGCTATGTGCCGATAACTTCCCGGGTGTTTTAGACTCATTTGTCTTTACGAGATAGGCATCAGTATTTCTATTTTACAGATGAGGGAACTGAGGCAGAATGAGGAAGAATAATTTGCCCGAGATCTCACTGCTGGTTAAGAGTGGAGCTGGGATTCCAACCTATGTACTGTGTCCTGGGGAGCCAGAGAACCAGAGCCACTCTTGAGAGAAGAGGCACTGAGGGAGTGTGAATGTGTCAGAGTCAGATGTTATTAGTACGAAATATTCTTCATACACTGATAGTTTGGTAGAATTCTTTCAAAACATAAAAGACAGTAAATTACTGTTGATGAGTAACGAAGACAGGATTTAAAAAATTAATTCATCCAATAAAAATTTGTTGAGCATCACATATACACACATATTGAGTAGAGTATTAGTATAACAGTCTGTAAGGAAGTATAAAATGCATTCCTTGCCTTCAGTTCCTATAATAAAATACACAAAAAAGGAGGCAAACTATTCCACTGGATATTGAAAGGTGTAGGAAGAGATTCTTTCTAAGAAGTCAAAATAGAGATTTCCATTGAATAAGCTCATGTTCTTTTATGTATGGTAGGAACATATTTGGCTATTCCCCAAGACCATCACAGATGAGAGTGAGGGGAGCACCAGCAGCTGGAGCACTAAGGAGGTAACGTAGGGACTTCAGCAAGCCCCCAGTCAACTCCATCGGCGCTCCTCCTCAGCTGACACCAACTCACCATCCAAGCCCACAGTCCCTGTCTGCTTTTTATCAACTTGATGCCAAGACCCATTTGGAGGCATTATTCTGATTGGAACTGATAAAAATTTACTAGAGTCTTCATTTCTCCCACTTTGTGTGAAGATCAGTTCGTTTTGCTACAGAAATATTAATGTGCTTGGTTATGAGATGCTGCTCCCAACTCCCCTGGGGGTGTAAGTAATATACGGGGTAAGCAACACATCATCTTTGCAAAATCCAAAATACTGACTACAGAAACCAATCTATTTCCAGGGTTGTAAATAAGAGAAAACAGCGTATTTACTCTCCAAATGTAGCTTCAAGATCAGTCATGGGCAAGGTCCTGGCCCCGACCATCTTGTATCACTCACAGCCATTCCTAACCCTAGAGAGAAGCTAAGAGGTTGGTCGCAGTGACGAAGACAGGAAAACTGTATGACACAGACCTGAGAACTAGAAACCAAATAAAGTAAGATGTCAACAACCCTTCTTCCATCAGCAATGACAAAGGTCACCTTATCTTTGGACTATTCTTTTTTAAGAAAGTGGAACATTTGTAATAACCTTTAGAAAGAGGATCATCTTCCCTTCAAAAAATGTGCTTAAAAAAGGTAAAAACCTGGCATGAGGGGGAAAAAATCAATAATCCAACACGTTCCCTGAAATTTGTGGGAGAATGGTTCTATGCTGGACTTACAGGTACAAAAAAAAAAAAAAAAATAGGATAATGTGGTCACATGTAAAAGAAATGCCAGTCAAATAGTCCAGACTTTAAAATATCTAGTATTCATGGGAGAGAGAGATCGCTTCAGGCTGCAATGAGCAGGGACTGTTTTACAACATTATTAAAAATAAAAGAAATATTAACTACATTTATTTAAAAGTACATGTGCTTTGGAAACCGTTGCGAGTGACCACAGTAATAAAGGACTTTGTGAAAACTGAATAAACTTTATGGGTCACCAAAGGGACCATTGAAGAAAACAGATTATTGTAGCTCCTGGTTCAGAATAAGCTAATTATTATTCTTTATTTTTATCTTGCTTAGACCAAAAAAATCTCTCTAATGGTAACAAATATTGATCCTTTAAACGGAGGGGTCCAGTTTGTGGATGGTTCTAGAGAATTTAGGTGACTTTCAGGAAGGCGGTTAAGTTTGGAGAGGCATTGGGTAGAGCAAAAATCATTTTAAGAAATGGTTTAACAAGAGCTAGAGGGGTTTGAGGTGAGTGAAAACAGCCACTCACATTAGTCAAGCAGGATCTACCTAGGGGAATGCTGAGGAACAAACCAATGTCAAGACGAGTTTTGATTTGTAGGCTAGCAAAAAGTGAGCTTACATAGCATGAACAGTGTACCCAGTACTTAAATCAGCATTAATTTAATTTCTATTTTATCAGGCTTTTGGATGATTCTTTTAATGGAGTCTAGGAATTTGCCAAAACTATTACTAGGCGCCCATTCCTGAGGGTTGACTGTAGACCACTGTATGTTTTCTAAAGAGATCGAAGCTACACTTCCTCTTCTTTCAGTCAATTTTGTATTCCCATCAGATTCTTATTCTACTGAACTTTTCACATTATTTAGTGTTACATTTATTGAAGTGGCTTTTCAGCTAAAAGCTGAGCAATATGTTTGCTTCTGAGGAGACTTACTTCATAGGCCAGAGAAGCCACGTTCCAGGGTCTGCGGTAGTAGACCAAGGTGTTTCCATCCCTAACGCGGTCACAGAGTCCATTGTAGTACTCATTGTCAAAAGGTGTGCTTAGGGGATCCATCCCTAAGATGTTGATGCTGAAAATGAAAGAGTAACATCAGATATGGAGATCCCAGGAGCTAATACAAGGCAGTCCTCTGTAGCTTGGGAAAGAGAAAGCTTTGGCTCAGGTCCCCATCACCCCATATATGCGTGATATAATCAGGAACAGAAGCAAGAGTCTGCTCACTTCTGCTTTACGTCTCTGGCAGCAAGCATACCTTAGGAAGGCCTTATAAACTTCCAGGCAACTAGGGCATTGTTGGGAGCACAATGAAAGAAATGCAATAACTAGGGAGCAAGGGACCATCTGGCTCCTAGAGTCTTAACTCCACTGCTGTAACTCTTAGCTAACCTCCCTTAGTGAGCGAAGAGCCAACTCTGTAGTACCCTATTTAAATTATTTGAGAATGGAGCATCTCGAGGGGGGCAGTATAACATATGCATGTAATTTTTAATCTATGAATCAACACTGGGGCTCTTTCTCTCCCCATTCTCTTTAAACTTAAGCCTTTTCCTCCAGCTGTCTCATTGCTTGTCAAGAACCTCATTCCCTCCAGGCTTATACTTTATTATACTTTCCAAAGGGAAATACAAAAATTTCAGCATCCTGACAAGGCATTCTCAAAAGTTCTACTTTTTCCTCTCAGCAAAATATTTTTATTTGGCAAGCTTTAATTCAGAAACAGAAATCTTATTTAGCTTTAAAAAAGTTAAGTTTGATTTGTAGACCTAAAAGCAATGTATGAACAAGGAGCAGTTCATTCTTTGTGAAGTACACTTCTGTTAATCAGAAGAACGGTCATTGCTGTCTAGTCTGGAATATATGGCTCCAGACCAGGGAGGCCAAAATAGAGGTTTAATCTGCACATCTATAACTGAGTTTGACACAAAAGCAGAAATTCTTCCATGGATCTAGACCACATCCCAAACTCCAGTGAACTGGAGTATAAATCTAGATGTTGGTTTCAAGAGTAATATGTCAAAGGGTGTAGATGGTTTACTCTAAAACCATAATCATATTTCACATCAAACCATATTTCAAGAAACATAATTGAAAGATTAACTTACTGCCACTGGGTTAGTTAAAAACAACTTCTTCACATAAATGGCATCTTCTTTTTTTTTTTTAAGATTTTATTTATTTATTTGAGAGAGAGAGAGCTCGAGTGGGGGAAATGGGCAGAGGGACAAGCAGACTCCCTACGGAGCGGAGAGCCTAATGCAGGGCTTGATCCCAGGACCCTGAGATCATGACCTGAGCCAAAATCGGATGCTTAACTGACTGAGCCACCCAGGTGCCTCCAAATGGCACATTCTTAATAAATGTTGAATCTACAAAGAAAACGACATTATAGCTCAACTTTAAAGGAGGGTAAGTTAAGGAGCCAATTCAGGAATATCTTTCTCAGAGCTGACTGTATAGTTAACCACTTCTGACTTTTTGCTCTATCAGAACCTTTCATGAAAAGTGCTATGGCCCTAAAGTTTAACATAGGGCCAAAAATTAGGCTTAGTTGAATAAGAAAGAAAAAAGAGATATTATTATCTGGTTTGCTTTCTCAAACATCTAATGCCTCATGGTAGGTTAACATTTCAGCTTCACTTCTTCACCCATCCCTGCATCTATAGCAAATGAATAATACCTTTTTTATTCCCCCTTTGGTATGACTAAGGTTTTGATACAAAGACATGGAACACTGGAAACAAATTATCTGCATTTGTTTCTTAAACAAGCCCTGCAGTACATTTTCTTTGTTCTATAGTGAACTTGTCCTTCATAAATCTGTATTAACAGAGACTCTGTACCTCTTCACTTTCAGGGACTGATGACAGTAATCTTTGTTTATAGTGATGATTAACTCTTGGGTGACTATGATATCTACACAGAGTGTAGTGTTTGTAGTAAATAGTGAGTAATATTAAGAGAGTTAATACACAGTCTTTGATCTCATGAAAATTATATTCAAATTAGGGAGTTGGACACATAACCACCAATTTCAAAAAAGAGTCCAAGGTCAAATACACATGTGCCAAATGAGTAGCCCAGGCAAGTGCTGCACAGGTTCCCAAAAGGAAGAAACCCCATGGCAGGGTCATAAATAGAGATTAGAAGAAGTAGGATTTGATTTGGGCACTGCAGAATGGGGATGGAAGGGCAGGAGGAATGGTGTGCACAAAAACCTGGAGGTAGAAATGTGTATGGTATGATTTCGGGTAGTAGTCTTCAGATTTTCTGCTTGTCTACTCTATGAAAAAATGATGACAAATTTTGCGGGCCTGCACAGTGTTAGTGTGACATCTAAGATTTTTCATCTTAAGTTTAAGTAGTTGCAAAGGATATAATTTCTCAGCATGTTATAAATATTTACATCTTAAAGTACAGTTATTTTGCCTCTTTTTAAAATAAATCCAGTGAAATATAAATGCCATAGTGATGGTGGGTATCAAATCACTGCAATGTTTATCTTTCTTTAGCAACTAGACATTTTATGATATTCCTTTTTATTCTTTTCTTTTTAAAGACACTTTATTTTCTAGAGCAGTTTTAGGTTCCTTGCAAAATGAGTGAAAGAGACAGAGATTTCCCATATGTCCCTACCCCCTTTTGATTCTTGAATTCATACTTCTATTCCATTTCCACCACAGAAGTTTAAACTCTTGTAATGTTATTTTAGCTTGGAAGTTTTAATGGATCACTTTTTTATACTTTTTTGTACCAAAAAGGTATTAACTGAAATTTTAAAAATATTAAGTATCCTTTAACCATTGGGTCTAAATAATTAAAAACGCCTCTGGATTGAGTTATAACTATTAGCAGTATATATTAAAATGTTTTAAATAGTTAACAAACATTTTTTTTTTTGGAAAGGTGTCTCAGTGAAATGAATGGGGCATCTTTTTTAATAAAGTGATTGGTCCCTGCCTTCATAGATGAATACTACTTATTGCTAGAAAAAGACAAGATTCAGGATCGACTGTATTCTTACTTTCCATTTTTATAGACACAAATGCTGAGAAACTTTGCTCATGTACATAAGTGGAAAAGAATAGAAGGAATTTTGTCATGGCAATGTCACTTGATTCTTTGATCTTCTGAGTTTTGTGCCAAAAAGAAAGATCACAGATTAGTCTTTCATTAAAAATTATTTGTATAGCCCATTATCTGATAATTGATTACAATATCTTTCAAAGAGAATTGGAGATGGGTTGACTTACAAGGCACTGGGGTCCAGCTGAGCACCAATGTTTGGAAATGTTTCTTGGTTTTTCCACCACAGAGTAAAATTGAGGTGGGTGAGGGGGGTACTCTTCTTTTGGGAAGGTGAAAGTTAGGTGATTACAAAAGGGAACTGGAGAGGGGAGAATGGGCTTCACAACTTGGATGCCATGGGGTTGTTAAGCTTCTCAAGTTTATGAAAAATACGTATGTATGGAATCGAAGATTTACTGTTGGTTCAATAGATTAGTTAAGCCACTAATAGTTGAGGAAACTATTACCTTAAAACTTACCTGTCTCCCCCTTAGAAAGTCTTTTTGCACCCCACAGTATGCATACCCCACTTTGAAGGTTTGTTTTACAGAACAGCAAACTGACTAGTTGGCTGGATCCATCTGGAAAGTTACAATGGAACTGCTCCACAGTCTAAAGCACAACTAAGGAAGAAATGTTTCAAAACTTTTGACTTGGTTCCACTACTACAGAGACAGCCAGTCTAGTCTAGAATGAGCCAATTTTTTTTTCGGCCAAGAAACATGAAAACTTCTCATGGATGGAATGTCATCGCCTGGGAAATAAAAAAATCATGTGTATTTTGGCAGCACCTAGAGATGCCTGTTTTCATGCCAGCATCTAGAACCATAGGCAGTTCCCATTTACCAGGTGACCAGAAAAGAAAGCTCCCTTCACAGGAGGGGTGCTATGCTTAGCTCACATAAAAAAGTAATTCATTGTGTACTGTACATCATTTACAGCTGGTTTGGATTTATATTTTTTCAATGAGTGCAAGTTAGGGGATTTCCCTAAACACTTCTGGAGAATCTCAAATGCCTACGAGGCAAGAGGCGGAAACATTTGTGATACAAGGGAATTCTGCTGGCATTAAGAATTTAAGGGGGAGTCCTTCAAACGAAAAAACAGGTATAAATTAATGACTGTGGGTACTTGTACTTTCATGTATGAAGGAGTCTGATTGTATATGACTGCTGATAAGACTTGTTGAGATTTTCCAGATTGGATTGTGTAGAAGCAGTTTATAAGTCTGTTGCTATGACAAGGGTGTTTCCTCCTATTACCTCTATTCAATTTATCCCAGAACCCCTTAGAAGAATAATGGTGATGCATGGTAAATAAATACGTAATGTTCATGGGACTGAAGAATATCACCAATATAATAAAGCATGCCATTTTGAGAACTCTTCTTAAATATTAATTACTGATTTCTACTCTTCTATACTCTTAATTCAAAAATTCGGATGATCAATAGCAACTTAAAGAGTTTCATTGGTTAGTTTTGCTTTGAAGCTAGGTGTTGATTTACGGGCTTTGCAGTCATGGGGGAAATGATGTGGGTGGAGATGAGCATGTGGGGAGAGGCCAAGGTAAGGTGGCATGGTGAAAAAAATAGAGTTTTATAAAAGTCAGAGAAACTTGTGTTTAGTTCCACTGGAAACTAAAGAGTTCTGCTAGAATCTAAAGAGATAAAATGGTCTTACTTGCTTCACTCATTTTTCTTTTTTCTGTAAAGTGAAGGTAATACCTCCCCTGACAACCTCAGGATTAGTATGAAAACTCTACAGAGAAAAAAAAATGTAGAGAAGAAAGTTCAAAGTATTATGCAAATGAAAGCTGTTGGAGAATAATAGGCTTTGGGAAGACTAGTTATAGGTAATTGTTCATGGTAATGGGCATTTAAAAAAAAAATGCTGGTAGATTTATTCTATGAGGACCTACCTCATTTTTCACCTCTTCAGCCAACCTTCCCCATAATTGGGATCCCACCCTCTTGCTTGGTCCTGAAGACTCAGCCCTGTGTTATTCCCTGTCACCGGCCCTTACTGTGGCAAAACATGATATATTTAGCCAGCTCTCTGGGATGCCTCATTATGAAACTTTCTAGCAAATGTTATATAATAAATTTTTTTCTCTGAACAAAGAAAACTAATAGATTATGAATGATTATTTTTCAGGTGAGCGGGCTAAAATTTCTGTATCCATTCACAAGGTGCAAATTTGCCTTGAGCGAAAATACATAATATATGCAATGCCCTGCTTCAAGCCCATCGGTTTAGATTAAGGAGAAAACTGTTTCTTGGATCCCAAATAAAGCAAAAACAAAGTCATAATGGACTTTCACCACAGATTCACAGTGTCTCCCTGAGAAAAGCAGCAGGAAGAGTCAGAACTCATTGGAGCATGCAGTGATCTGGTTGTAAGGTTTCCGACAACCCCCTTACCATTTACTGACAATTATTAAAAGAACCTCCTGTGTTTGGAGACAAAGACTGTACACTGGATTCAAGACTCCTACCTCGGCTAAGGGCCAAAGACCCTTAGTTCGTGGGCAACACTTGAATGTTGCTAGGACAAGATTTTATAAAGTGAATAAAAGGTGTATGAAATGTTTTTTTTTTTTGAAAGATTTTATTTATTTATTTGACAGAGAGAGAGACAGCGAGAGCAGGAACACAAGCAGGGGGAGCGGGAGAGGGAGAAGCAGGCCCCCTGCCGATCAGGGAGCCCGACGTGGGACTCGATCCCAGGACGCTGGGACCGTGACCTGAGCCGAAGGCAGACGCTCAACGACTGAGCCACCCAGGTGCCCCAGGGTGTATGAAATGTTTTATCTGGTGCCTGACTCTTGGTACCCTGGACTTTTCTCCTTATTGAGATTCAAAAAGTACAAGTTCCATCTGGCTTAGAGAGAGAAGACATCTCCGTTTATAGCCAACCTTGATCCAGAGGCCTTACCTTAGGAACTGCCCCCTATCCTGGTGTAGTGTTTCTCAGCCTGAGCACCACTGACGCTGTGGGTCTGGCTGCTCTGTGCACTGCAGGATGTTTGGCACCATCCAGGGCCTCTACCCACTGGATATCAGCAGTGGTCCCTCACCCCCTGAGTGTTCCACCCCATCCCCCACAGTTGAGACCCCCTAGAATAGTTTCCAGACATTGCTAAATGTCCTCTGGGGAAAAAAATCACCCCTGGTTGAGAACAAGTACCTTAGTTCCTCTATTAGCCTTGCTTTTACCATCATGCCCATTTTCTTTCCTCTCCTTATCCCCATTCCCAGGACTTAAGTCCTGAACCTGAATTTATTTCTAGGGACCCAGTTTCAATCTTATCTGATGCCAACTGACAGTATTTTAGAAGCACTTATTTTCATTAATTCATGAGCTGATGGACTGATTCACCTATTTGTCTACTCGCCCCCCCCAGGGTTTATGGAGCACCTATGATGAACCAGGCACTGAGATCATGAGGTTGATAAGACACATCGCACGACAGGCCGTGAAACAGAGTCACGTGCCATCTCCGTCAATAGACCAGTGGACTTGGGAAAAGCTGTGTCTCTGTTGAGTAGTTTGCCAACAAATCTACCCAAAGTACCTTTGCTGAAAACAGCTCAGAACAACAAATGGAAACTATGTCATGGATATCCCTGGAATCTTCTCTGACCATATGGAACAGAACAGAACAGCACCTCAGGCCTACATCATTTTCCTAATTCCTAGAGTGCAGATCTCTGGGTGACAGTCTATTCTGTGACACTCTGAGTTCTAAACTGTCCAAGACCTCTCATCCGAGCTTAGCTGGCCAGAGCCCCTATGTTTTGTACAGAAAGTGGGTGAAACTTCACTTTGTAATGAGAACCAGAGTCTCAACACCAACACCATCCACATCAGAACTGCTTCTTCTGCCCTTTCCTATCGGGTCGACTCTACAATGCTGTACCCTCCTGAGAACTGATAACCAGGCATAGATCCAGGACAAGTTCCCAGGGAAGACAGCCTGACTGACAATTCAAATGTTTGAAAGGCCAGACCTACCCCTGGCAACTCAATGTCAAGTGGTAGCATGTCACTTGAACATTGTTGTGGCCTTCCCGAGGTTCATAACCGAGGTGCATCATCTCCTGATGGACTCGGAGAAAATCACCCTCCTGAGGCCAGGTGCTTCGTCCAAATGATCGCGAGATACTCATGTCACACTTACCTTCTTTTAAGCACAAGCATGTTTCAAGCAGAAGGCAGACCCGGGAGCTGCTCCCCACGCCTCCCCCCGGCCCACGCAGACCCTCCACCACCCTAGCGCGGCAGGCAAGACGGAGGTGTCCCTTTCACCCATTTAAGCCAAATACAGACCCATAGCCTGCTGTCCGAGCCAGCTCAGATTCTTCCACGGTCCTCTCACGGCAAGGGAGACGGGGATCACCTTCACAATCATCCTCATCTGAAAAGTCCCCGCAGTCATTGTCACCGTTACACAGAAGCCGCCTCTTGATGCACCTGCCTGCAATCAAAATCAAGAAAGACACTGCGTGTCTATTGTCAGATTTCCTTTCTCTTCCTGGAGTTAGCAAATGGACTTTAACGATAGAGGGCAGGGAACAGGCACACACTTGAATTCTCGGAAGCACCCTTCACAGTTATTTCTGAATTCTTTTTTTTTTAGGGTAAATCTAAAGATGCCTTGTTTGTTAACTAACTTGTGGAAACCAGGAATCAGCGTCTCTGAGGCTGCACCCTGCCCCACAGTGGGGTGTGCTGTTCAGCATCTACAGACAGCCCTTTGACCGGCCCCTTTCACACTTGGAAACACGAGCGTGTAAAAGCAGGCTTCGTTCTTTTTGCTCTGTGGTGAGCAAGGGGGACGCAGGGATTACCTGTACCACATTTAAAGTCATTGCCACAGTCCTCCTCCATGTCTGCACAGGCCTCAGTGGGCTCACACTGTCGTCTGTCTCCCACAGCGTCTACGCACTTCTGTCCGTTGTATTGTCCGAAAATCTCAATGCTCCTTGAGCGGAACTGCATAAAACCAGCTGGAAATATTAGAATTTCTATGGCGAAAAGGGGTAATGATCTAAAACTGCATCCACAACCCTGCAGTCCTCCAGACCCAGTTGAGTCGATGGTTTTAAGATGGAAGCCCTAGCACTGGGTGTTATACGCAAACAACGAATCATGGAACACTACATCAAAAACTAATGATGTAATGTATGGTGATTAACATAACATAATAAAATAAAATAAAAAAAGATGCAAGCCCTAAAAGCAGTCACTAATGTTAAAGTAACACCTTGCATGCTAGGGTTGGCCGTCTCCTACAGAATCTGGGTCCTTGTGGCACGCATTTACTATTGTGTGCCACGTTGAGATTTCCAGGCAAATCGAGCTTCGTTCACGTAGATATTTATGTTTCCTTCTTAGTTTGGAACTCAGCTGGGGGGCGGTCCTTGCCTCCTAGTCCTTTTCCTGGAGATGCTGGGAACACAGTTTCCATTTGGGGTCACGGGCGGGGAATGACAATGAACACTTACCATTTGTTTGAGGCAAGGGTCACATTCTGACCATTCGCTCCAGGAGCTCATTCTGCAGTCGATGGGAAATGGCTTCTTGTTCTCTTGTATTATCTGTGGGCCATAACTAAGATAACAGAACGCGTCAACTTCATGGCATGACGAGTGTTTGTGTCCAAGAAATCTTCCCGAGCCAGTCTGATTTATTTACACTTTTCTGCCTTCCAAATCAAAGGACTTATCCTTTTTTTTAAAAAAGATTTTACTTATTTATTTGAGAGAGAGAGTGAGAGATAGAGCACGAGCAGGGGAGAGAGGGAGAAGCAGGCTCCCTGCTGAGCAGGGAGACGGATTCGGGGCTCGATCCCAGGACACTGGGATCATGACCTGAGCAGACGCTTAACCGACTGAACCACCCAGGTGCCCCACAAATCAAAGGACTAATCCTTTTACTAGATCTCTCATTTGACATTTGATTGTATGCTGCTCTGTGTTTTCATCTGGTCTTCTTGTTGAATTCTTGTACTGCTTTGTGACTTAACTTTCAACCTAACCACAAGATAGTAATGGTGATGAGAAAAACGGGCAAGTCATCCTGCTGCCTGTTTTACATTGATTAGTCTTAGATTTCCCACTACCTTCTGAACTCAGTGAGGCTAGAGACCTTGTTTCACTTTATGTCCCCCAGAGTCTGAAAAAGTCTCCAGTTGCCTGGTTCTCTTGCAAATGTAAGCCAGCCAGCCCAGCTGCTCCTGTAGCCAGCACTTGGGAAACCCAGCTTTCCTACCCTTGCACTGTGCACGTCCTAAACTGCAAGACTTACCACTTCACACTCTGCTTCAGGACTGACCCCTCACTGTTCTGCATTTTCACACCTATACTTTGGCCCTTATAGCCTTCCCTCTCACCCCCAGACCCAAAGCTCAGCTGTGCTTTTCTGGCTTTGAACTTCTCTTTCTTTCTCAGTTCACCATTTGGATCTCTTCTGGTCGCAACACCTCCTTGGATGATTATCTCCTTCAATGAAAGAAAAACACCAAAACAAAACTAAAAGCAAAAGCCACTGAACAAGAATCCTATAAATGCTCTGCCCCAACTTCCCTGAGTTGGCACCTGTCCTTTCTAGAGTGCAGCCTCTTACTCCAAAGGGCTGTCTTGGTAAGGCCAATGCCTCCATGAAGGCTCTAGATCCCAGCTCTTCTCTGAGACCTTGACCAGTTGAATATGTTATCCATTAAAAGTCTTCCTCGCTACCAGTTTCTTTCCATGTGTTGTATATTGTGTTCAAGTCTTTGATACTAAACAGAAACAAGCAAATGAATGAACAAATAAAACCTTCTTTGTGAACTCTACATTTCCTTCCAGCTGCCCGCATTTGCCCCTGCCCTTCACTAAGCCACTTCATAAAGGAATTGTTATCAACAAATTTATGTTTTTCTTTCATAAAAAAAAAAAAGAGTTTCATCTCCTCCTTCAACTCGCCATGCCCCTTTAGGTACCTCTTAAATTCTCTCATCCTTTTAGCCAACTTTCTTGGAAGAGTAGTTTGCACCCTGTCTTTTGTCCCTCACTCCCCAATCAGTGCTCAGCCCTCCTGCCCCAGGGACACTGCTCTGGCCAAACAAAGTCAATGATGACTGCCTTGTGGCTCACTTGGTCCTTTCAGTGCTTCTCTTATTGACTTCCTCACAGGGGTCAATGCAATTGGCCATTCCTGCTGTTTAAAACACTCTCTTCCCTCGGACTGAATGACAATAAACTCCTACCATTTCTTCTTTCTCTTCTTTCGGTTCTCCTACTCACCCATGTAGGCTCCTCCTCCTTAGATAGTCTCTGGAATGCTGTTTTTCCTCAAGGCCCTCTCCTTGAATTTTTTCTTTTTCCTCTCTATACTTTCCCAGGGCTTTGGTTTCCATGCATATGCTAATGACACAGAGATAAGTCTGCAGTCCAGACATCTTTCCTGAATTTTAAGCTCTTGAATATAACTCCCAACTGGACATCTGCACTTGGATTTCGTTATGGTCCATTGAACTCAATGTATTCCCCAAACAAATTCATTATTTTTCCTCTCCTCTCAAAGCTGTACCTCTCCCCGTACTTACTGTCTGGGTGAACAGCACTTCCATTTCTGCAGTTGGCCTGGCCAGAGGCCTGGGTGCTGGCTGTCTTATCCTGCATCCCTCACACTCATCGCCTGGAGCTAATCAACCATTAAAATCTGTTGTTTAGTCTCCTAAATGATTCTCAAATTCATCCGTCCTTCATCTCTGCCAGACACTTCTCTGTTCTACACTAAAATTACATCTCTCCTGGATGACAATAATTTCTTGCTAATCCAGTTTCCATAAATCATATACAGGATCTTTTAAAAATGCAGATTTGATAGTGCCATTCCCCTCCTGAAAACGTTTCTGTAAGCTTCCTATCACTCTTATGATAAAGTCTGAATTTTCTAACATGGTGTGGCAGGCAGAATAATGACTCCCCAAGATGCCCACATCCTAATCCCAAAATCTGTTAATATTTACCTTACATGGCAGAAAGGGTTTTGCAGATGTGACTAAGAAAGATTATTCTGTATAATCTGGGTAGACTCGTTCCAAACATGTGAGCTCCCAAAAGCAGAAGAGTGGTTCCGGGAGATGTGAAGACAGAAGAGGTAGGAGAAATTCAAAGCAGTAGAAGGGACCCCACTGGCTATTGCTCGTTGTGAAGGTGGAAGGAAGCCATGAACCAAGGAAGGCAGGCAGCCTCCGAAGCAGCAAGAACCAAGAAAATGGATTCTCCCCTAGAGCCTCTGGAAAGGAATGTAGCCCTGGGGGCACTTTGATTTTGGTCCAGTGAGACCCACCTCAGACTTCTGACCTGTAGAACTGTAAGATAATACATTTATATTGTTTTAAGTCACTGATTTGTGGTAATTTGTCACAGCTGCAATGAGAAACTGAACATGGTCTAGAGAGCTCTGCATGGCCTATCTCCTTCCTAATTCTTCAACCTCACTTTCTCCATCGAAGCTTTAACCACATTGAATTGAAATTTCCAAGATAAGCTACTTTTTCTCATGTCTTCAGGCTTTTCAGCCTTCTATTTCCAATTTACTACAGTGATCTTCTCTTGGGCATAATGGGTTTTTTTCCCCCTTGAACATTCCCTAAACTCCTTGTGTAATTTATTTTTCTCTGTACATATTCTTATAGAATCTTGTTCTTCCTTAGGTCATAAGCACCTTGGCAATCATATATTTCATTTAATTAATTCACTTACTCATGCCTCCATTCATTTATTTATTCATCAAATATTTATTAATTGTCTCTATCTGCTAGGCATGTGGGATATAATGGTGTGCAAAACAATAAAACAAAATAAAGCAAAAACTATGATCCCCAAACTAAAAGAGCTTATATTCTGAATAACAACATCAGTGAGCTGGGACATTTCTGACCCTGTGCAGCTTGCATATCAAGTTCTTGGAACATAGTAGGTGCTCAGTAAATGTTTTCTGAACACAAATGAATAACTAAGTGCAAGAAGGGGCAGGAAGTTCTTCATCATGTTTTCTTGGGCAGATCTAGGTCTATATTTCTCTAGGTTACAATCTTCTAGTGAACCACCCACATTCTACTTGTGCACGACTTGTCTATCAGTAAGGCAGACTTTAAGACTGGAGACATCCTACACCATCCAGAAAATCAGGGGATCTGATAAGTGTCCATCTTTTAAAAGGACAGGTTAAACTTATATTAAACAGGCTGCCAAAACTCTTTGGTGAACCTGCTTTCCTGGAAGCCTGAGTATTAGCGTGAATCTGAAACTACAGGGCTGAGAAATTCTCTGCTAGAACTTTTCCATAAAATTAAGATCTCCTCTGGAACTGTTGGGCCTCATCAAGAGGCAATGGCAGATGCACCTTTATGATCTATAGCAGTGGGGCTCCATACACTGCATGTCATAATCCTCAGATATTAAAAATAGGAATTTGTAAAATTGTGATTGTCACCCTAAAACAATTAAATCAGGCTTTCTGAGGTTGGGCTCCAGGCACCAAATGATTTTAAAAAGTACCCCAGGTGATTTTCATGTTCATGCACTGTTGAGAAACACTGCATCAGGAGCATATTCATGAAATCTGAAAGGGTACAATTCAAATAGGTTGGGTGTGCTCATTATATCAGTATAGCCCAAACTTGAAGCTACCACTAACTTGAAAATATCACTGAGCTGGTTTATCACTATTTTCGGGAATTACTCTAGGCTCTATTTATTAATGTCTCTATGGATCTTTTAAATATCTTTGTTTCTCCAGTATTAGTCCTGTTGCCTTCAACTAGATTATCTGCTCCTGTCTTTTTTGTATTTATCACTTACTTAGATGGTCAGGTTAGCATTTTGTTTTAGCATCTCCCCCAAAGAGATTACTCCCTTGGTTCTAAAAAATTCACCCTATAGATCAGTAACATGATATTTTTATCCTTCCCACCTGCCACTGAGAACAGCTTCAATGAATAACTAGTTCAGAGGGCGCAGTACGGAATGAAGGATCATGATGGAAGGTAAAATCCACTGTAAACACTCCAGAGTGAGGAGTCCTTTGCTGGGCAAGCCTAGAACCCAGCCAGTGATGCGGTCTGATGAGAAAGGCTGTTCATTTGTTTCACACACAAGGACCGGGATCCTGCTCCAAAGATATTGGCATTGCCCATAGACTGTTCTCTAACATCCTTTACATAAATAATAGCACCGCATTAATTATGTACACACTGATTCTCTTCTTTCTCAGCTTCTAACTAAAGGACTCCTTTTCTTTTTTACAGATTTGACTCACACTCTGGACTTAGTAGAGAGCTCTGCCTTTGATCTTTTATTGCCCTCCTAGACCACGATTTGGATTCATCCCTGGAATGACCCCCATCCCCTGAATGACCCTCTAGGAAAGTCCTCTATCACATCCTTGCCCTGGGAGTGAGACTTACAGCCCTCTAGATATCAGGCGCAGTGTATTTGTTGGCTTACTAGTTCTGTCATAACCAGATCCCACAGACCATGTGGCTGAAACAACAGAAATTTATCTTCTCATAGTTCTGAAGGCTAGAAGTCTGAGATCAAGGTGTCTGCAGGGTTGGT